GCGGCAATGATTGGGCTCAATGTATTTGCTTATTTTTCTGTCCGTGGTTGCCTGATGTTTTTTGTCTTTAAAACCATCATTTCAAATGTTCTGTCTGTTTCTTGATGGTTTGTTTTTTTCTTATGGCAGAGTTAGGCTGGTCCTTTTTGTTCATATACGTCTGAAATAGTCCACATTGTCCTTTAAAATGTTTAATGTTGATGTCAGGATTTCTTCTATTCTGACTAAACATTATCTGGCTGAGGAAAGTTATCTACTTGCATAGCTTTGATTATAATTTGAATAGAAATGACTCCCACACTTATGTCTCTAACTCAAAGCTCTCATTTGAATTCTAAAGGCATTTTTAACCACCAAATCTACAGTTCCACATAAAAATTTCACAGACAGATCAAACTTGGCATGTCAAAAAATGAACCCATGCTCAACCCACCACTTACTTGGTCCGTTGGATTTTGTATCTCAACAAATGGCATCATCATCTGGAAGAAACCTGGAAGTCAGCCACGACTCCGCTTCCATCCCTAAACTCAGACTTCATCATGAAGTCCTGTTGAGTCTACCACCATAAATATATTTTAAAACCTTTACATGGTTTCTTTCCACTACCCCTCATCTCACTTCCTTTCAAAAATCCCCTGTTTGGGGTTAAACTATATCCCCAAGAAAGATATATTGCAGTCCTAATCCGTAATACCTACGAATATGACCTTATTTAGAAATAGGATATTTGCAGATGCAATCAGTTAAAATGAGGTCATTAGAGTGGGCTGTATTCCATTATGACTGGGGTCCTTGTTGGAAGAGGAGAAGAGTACAGAGGCAGACACACACGGAGAAGAGGAGGTGAGGACATACAGGAAGAGCGCCATGATGATGGAGTGATATGGCCAACAAGCAAGGAGCTCCATGGATTGCCAGCAACACCGGAAGCTAAGAAAAGGACATTGAACAGATTTTCCCCTAAAGCATTTAGAGAGAGCATGTCCTGCTGAAACCTCCATCCCAAACTGGGAGAGAATAGATTTCTGTTATTTTGAGCCACTCCGTTCACGTACTCTGTTGTAGCAGCCTAGGAAACAAATCCACTCCCATTTCCATCACCTGATCTCAACAAGAGCCACTTAAGCTCCTGTGTGCCACCAGGTATTGTGCTTAGCCCCTTTACATGCTACCCCAGGCAGGAGTCAGAGTGGTCTTGTAAAAAAGCAAATTGGAAGGTGTCATTGCCCTTCTTCAAACTTTTAGTGGCTCCTTATTATTTTAAGGATGCTGTCCAGGATCTAAAACATGGTCTAAACGGACCTCAGTAATCTGCTCTCCATCCTTTTCTTCATATGCGCTCACTCACTGGAGTGTTTTCTCACTTCATCAAAGTATTCTAGTCTCCCTTGCTCCCTAGTTGTCCCGCACCCTGTTCCCTCTCCTTGGAATACTTTTTCCCCCAAACCCTCCTGCTTCATTTGGTTAACGTCTGTATATTCTTCAGATGACACTGCCTCAGAGAAACCTCTCCAGAATATCTGATAACAAAATTGCATGTCTATTTCTGGGCAGCTCTCTCACCCCGTTGACCTATATAGTGTCATATGTGCACCATACAGTGAGCTTATTTGCTTGATTTGTATAACGAATAAGACGTAGTACAAAATATTCTTTGGATGCAGTATTCATGAATGCTCTCAGTTTCCAGATCTCAGTATCTACTATTTTCTTTCCTTTTTTTTTTTTTTTTTGAGGAGTTTCGCTCTTGTCACCCTGGCTGGAGTGCAATGGTGCGATCTCGGCTCACTGCAACCTCTGCCTCTCAGGTTCAAGCAATTCTCCTGCCTCAGCCTCCCGAGTAGCTAGGATTACAGGCACCCACAACCAAGCCTGGATAATTTTGGTATTTTTAGTAAAGACGGGGTTTCACCATGTTGGCCCAGTTGGTCTCGAACTCCTGACTTCCAGTGATCTGCCCACTTCGGCCTCCCATAATGCTGGGATTACAGGCATGAGTCATGGTACCTGGCCTCAGTATCGACTATTTTCATACAGCTTCTAATTCTTCATTCTCTCCCCTCTCCATTACAGATCTACATTTCCAAACAATTCCATGGGTAACCTTAATCATCCAAACCCTAAAACCTCAGAGTATTGGATTACGGTGGTCAGGAATTAGGGTAAGAGGAGAATGGAGGAAAAGGAGAGAGAACAGAGAACCCATGAAAGCCAGAAGAGGGTAGGGAATAACATAATTTTGCCAGCTGATTTTGAAAATACCTGGAGTCTCACATATATGCAATTATTGCTCAATTATTTTGCACATGAACCAAATCAGTAAATGGACTGGCTTCTGCTCTTCATCCATTCCTCACGGTGCACTCCTCTCCTTCCCCAGACTTTTGCTATTGTTCTATACTAAGGCCATGTTCTTTTTTTTAAAAAAGTGATCTAATTCATATAATAATATTCTGATGGTGGAGCAGGAAATGATGTGATTTATCCTGTATCTTTATCAGAGCATCTGAGTTCTGTGTTCTGTAAGAGACGGGACTGGCAAAAACTTTTAACATTCACTGCCTTTGGAATTTACATTTTAGAAACCATTTCCTCTCCCTGATACCTTTTCCCTTTGTTCCTACAAAATATACCTAAATGTGTTAAGGCAGAAACTCTAAAATTATTACAGGAGAAAGAAAAAAAAAACAGTTTGTAAGAAAATAATCAAATGCTAGAGGAAATAAAGTAAATAATCATTATTTGAAGTGAAAACTAGAAAATTAATTAACCAATTTTGAAAATATACTATATACTATTTTAAAATAAAAGTCTTACATAAAATAGTGAATTCCAAATACCTTCTTTTGTTTGGGCTAAACATAAAATATTTATAGAAAATTGATCATCAAAGTCCTGTTTCTATAATTGCCTGACATTTATTTCAACATTTCGGATACAGCAAATGGAGTGACCAATGTCAACAGGCAACATTTAAAAAGCCATTTCTTTGAGATTTAGAATACTTTTGCCATCCCTGGGGACATGCTTTGAATCTGGCAGGAACATTAGCTGATCATGCTGCTTCAATCTGACAGCTTCAGATTTTTAACAGGGGAAAAAGGCAGAACTAATGGATGTGAATAAGCTTAAAAGCACGGGAACTTATCAATCACTGTAAACAGCTGTATTTTGGGAAGCTAACAGAGGTACTTCTAAAAACATAAAAAGTCAATAGATATATTTCTGGCAACTAATAATTTCAATCTGGTCTTCTTCATTTGTCCCTCCTCCAACCCCCAATCTGCCTACCTTCTGTTTTGTTTTGTTTTTTTTTTAAAGTATAATATTCTTGTCAGCATTGATTAACATGAAAACATTCTCCTCACATGCACCATTCTGCTTTCCAGAAGGAAATAACACAGTATCTAATTTTATGAAAAGATAACTCAAAAGATGAATGAAACAAATCAAATTATTAACGTGATTATAATCGTTTTCATCCTGTTCTGATTTTTATAATAGAGGACGTGTACACACAATGCTATTTATAATTGGCACATTATTGGGTAATGACTATAACTATTTATCTTTTTGTTCAACCTCAGGCACATAACATCTTACGTATATATTTCAAAGAGCTTGAAAACACAATTATCTGTTTTGCTTTACAATTATTTCAAAATATTCCACTATTGTATTCCTCCACAGAGGCCTCTAACCCTTTATTTTCCAGAACAGATTCGCTTTTGAAGAGATTACCAGTGTGACAATATTTCAAGAAGCACAATAAAACCCTGTTTCCTCCACTGCAAAAGTGAAAATTTAATTTTATCCTCTAGCCTTCTAAAGGATTAGGTGAGGATCAGGCCAAGTCATTAGACATTAGAATCCTATGAAGAAAATGTCCTCAGTATGGAGCCCTTAAGGATACAAACTTGTTTCAAATACTGTGATGGTAATTTCTCACACTGAGAAGGTACTTTTCAATCAACATGACTTGACTGTTTGGGGTAGAACTTGAAAGGCATCAAGATTAATTTCTTTCTATGCACAAGGCACTACATCATTTGCTAAGGATAACAGGACATACAACACAGTCATGCTCTGATGAACTGACTATTCACCAGGAGAGACAAACAGTGTGAACACACCTATTGCATTACAGTGTGGTGGAGCCCGGATACTGTGGGTAGTACTCACAAGACGGTGTGATTAACTCTATTACTTAGTGTGTCCAGGAAATTTGTAGGTTGGAAGTAATATCTGAGCTGGGATTTTTAAATGCGTTATTTTCCTGGTAGAGAGAGTAACATTTGCATGTAAGATGGATGTCAAGTTTAATGTCAGTTTTAATAGCACGAGGTCTGAAGCCAGCTGCCTGAATTTGAATTCTGGCTCCAAAATTATTTAACTCTGTGACTCTGCAAAAGATACTTAACCCCAGTATTTCAGTTTCCTCATCTGAAAAATTAGGTTTAATAATTAAATTTACTCATTTCAAAGCCTTCTGTGTTCACATCAGGTTTGAATCAGGTCTGCTGGGCTTTTCTGTTAGATCATATTCCAGCAATTATTTTGCAGACAGAGTATTTTATCTGTATTTTTAAAATTTTTTCCCCTCAAAGACAAGTCAGATAGCTTTCCCCAATAAGTAAAGTCATATAAACCCATTTTTTAAAACTTTCTGAATAAGATAGACTTGTTTAATGTAAGCCTTACAAAATCTGTGGATAAACATCCTCAATTCTCAGGCACTCCCCACAATTCTTTATGCTTTTTCACAGTCCTTCTTTGAAACTATATTTAAATATATAGTTGTGGCAGATAGACCCTAAGGTGAGCCACATAATCTTGACTTCTTGGTGGTCACACCTTTGTATAACCCCTTTCTCTTGAATGTGGGCAGAAGCTGGGACTTCTAACCAATGGAACATGGGAAAGGTGATGAGACGTGACTCCGGTGATGAGGTTACATTATCCAAGACTTGGCCAACTGAGACCAGATCTCCTTACAGGCTTGAAGCAGTCATCAGCCATGTTGGAAAAGTGCTCATGGCAAGGAACTATGAGAGGCCTCTAAGGACTTCAGGCAGCATCTAGAATGAATGTGAACATACTACTACAACCAGCAAAAAGACCAGTCATGCAACCACAAGGAATTAACTTCTACCAAAGCTGAATGGGTTTGGAAGCAGACTCTTCCCAGCCAATCCTTCTGATGAAAATATAGTCTGGCCAACATCTTCACTGGACTCTGATGGACTCTATGCCTGGAACCCAGCTGATAAGACATGGTAATACGTTTTATAAAATTACATTTTTATGAGGATTTGTTACACAGTGACAGAAAATAATACCACAGGTAATCAAAATCCTCTCGTTTGGTAATATTTCATCACTAAATTATTATTGGAAGTTACACATACTGCTTTGGGAGCTATCATAATCAGTGAAACAATGGAAATTCAAAAGTCCTGTGAAGTTTTTTGGTTAGTGAATTTATGAGGGAAAATATTCAAGTATATTAATTTATCTCAAATAGTAATGACGTCTCCCCTTGCCATTGTTATGGATTTATGGATTTATGTATCTGATACATGTAACATTACATTTTCAATCAATACTACTGATGGACCCTTCCCTACTTTTATAATTTCTAACTATAGTTTTAGGGAGAATACTATTAATTGAAGTATTACTTTTATTTTTTCTATAAATTCTTTGAGAAATATGTATTTCTTATGTCCTTTCTAAGGTTATTAACAAAAAGAAAATAATATTTCTGAATTATAATCCACTTTCCTTCAAAAAATAGTAACTCAGTGTCTAATAAGGTATAGCAAAAAAGTTAAAAGGACTCATAAGTTTACTTAAAAATACCTACTCTGAAGCAAAACTGACTTTCTATTAAAAATAAAACAAGTTTTCTCATTATTGTTTTGTTTCCTTGTTTTTAGGTGATAGGATTGTATTTGCAACTCTCTGGTCAGTAAGTGATAAAATGCCATTTCCATGCACCCACCTGGCCTGTGTAACTGGGAGAACCTCTCTTTTAATTAAATGTGCTTCAAGTTTTAACAACTGACTTGTGTTAGTGATATGATTAATCTGCCTGTGACTGTCAAACAACACAGATGATTTGCATATCTCACCTCAGCAAAGATAGATGCCTCATCTTGGGATGAAATACAGTTAATTCTTCTAGAAAAAAACAAATAGAAAGAAAAGAATGAAATGTTCTGTAGATATGAAATGAAGTCTTCTGCCTTAATGGAATTGTATCATTATAGATAGCTTACTTAGTACTGAGAATGTAATGTTACAAATGAGGCCATTTATTTTTACTCTGATGTATCTGAGACTCAAGTTAAATAAGTTACTTGGATTTCATTTAACCTGATAGGAATACATTCACATGCTGATAGCTCGAAATCAGCACGTTAGAGACCATGGTCAAATGTTGAGTCTTTAGAAGTGACTTCCTGTGATCAAGTTCCAGTTCTATCTCTTACTTTCTCATTGTGTAATCTTGGCCAACTGTCATAATCTCTCTTAGCTTTATAGAGTCTAAGGTGGTGTTTAAACGAAACAAAATATTCACAGTGCTTAACACAAAGCCCTCCACATATAAACCCTCCGAACATATTCATTATCATTAGTTTACATAGAACTCTCTCCTATGCAAATTAAAGCAGATTCACTACAATGTCTTTCTTCCTCATATTTGTTTTTCAAATAATTAACCAAGAAAATACATTTTACAAGTTTGGACCATCAGTTTTTTTTTTTTTTTTTTTTTTTTTTTTTTTTTTAGTTTTTGTTTGCTTGTTTATTCTGTTGTTGTTAAGCAGCTTAGAAAAAGCAAATATTCAATATGTTGGTATATTCTTAGGAAACCTTTAGGTTGATCTATGATTCCATATAAGGTTTAAGTCAACAAATTCACTTTTAACTTACAGTTATCCCCCATGAAAGGAAAATATGAAATATGGATACAAGGATAATAGGCTAAATGTCCAGGAATGAAATGGAGTACTGAACTCCAGATTCTCTGTCAATGCTAGAGGAATCGGAGAGCAGTTTCATGAGCTTTAGCAGAAGAGACGTTCACATACCATACTTGGTTATCTTTGCATGAGATTTTGCAGTAATAGAGTAAATTTCTGAGATGGTTCTTTATAATTCCTTAAGATAATTTCTATTCATTCTCTTAGGAGTTTTTGTTTTCTGAAACTGGAACATTAATGGCCGATACTGGGTTTCTGAATAAAAAATACTTTTTATCAGAAATATGATTATATATGTAAAAAATAAACTGGTAGTTTTTTTGTGTGCATTAGCAATGGTGGAATCATAATATTGGACACACAAATATATCAATACTTAAGAGTTATTCAACATATCTTAAGTTTAAAATTATTCTATGCGGTCAGAGTCTATCTACCAGCTGTATGCAATATCGATATGCATATGCACAGTTTGTACAGTTAGAATGTATATATTATACTCAGACATGTATATTATACTTAAATATACTATATATGTACTAGTAAACAAATATGTAAATCCATACAGTCCAAAGATACAGAAAGAACATAACATACATACAGAGTCTTACCTATGTTGGAAGTGTTACTGGAGCACAGATTAATTCACACACAAAAATAACACTACCTTTTAGATAAAGCATAAAGTTGCCATTAAATCAAAACATAATATTATTTGTCATATAAAATGGTTATAAGGAGAGGTCATTCTTTCTATAATAAATATGAGGTAAGCTAATAACAGAAATAATAAATGTGAGTTCAGTCTAATGTGACAACTTCTGGATTTTTAGTAAACTTTAAGTATTGACATTGTGTAGTCTTTTAGGGAACAAAATAATATCCTTAAAACTTTAAATCTTGTGATACTGCTTCTCAATTGCTTCTGTAAGTTTAAAATATTTGGGGAAAGGAACTATAACCATATCTGTTCTTTTTATTTCTGAAGTTAATTTTATTAGCTAATATCTCTCCACTCTTAAAATTAAATAAAAATATACAGAATTGATTTATACCAAAACTTTTGTATTTAGACTGAACACATTTAGAGTAAGAGAGTGTGAATCGCTTTATAATTCTGTATGACTACTCCAAAAAAAAAGACACCCAAAATACAAGAATAGGCTGGGCACCGTGGCTTGTGCCTATAATCTCAGCACTTTGGGAGGCAGAGGAGGGTGGATCACTTGAGGTCAGGAGTTCAAGACCAGCCTGGTCAACATGGTGAAAACCTGTCTCTACTAAAAATATAAAAAATTAGCCTGGTGTGGTGTCACATGCCTGTAATCTGAGCTACTGGGGAGGCTGAGGCAGCAGAATCGCTCGAACCCAGCAGGTGGAGGGTTTCAGTAAGCCAAGACCATGCCACTGTACTTCGGCCTGGGCAACAAAGCTAGATCCTCTCTCTCTCTCTCCCCCCCTGTGTGTGTGTGTATATATACACACACACACACACACACACATATATTCATATATATGTATATATATTGTACATATATATCATATACATACATATCATATACATATATGTATATGATATATATGCACATATATATTCATATATATGTATATATATGAATAATTTAATGAGTGGATTACTTTCAAAGTGAGAGTTAAGAAAGGTAATTGAAGTAAACTAATGTCGCTACATGTAATGCTTTTGCATGTAGATCCAGTTTCCATATAATCAGCATTATTAGGCAATAGATGACATATCAAAGTGCTTTTCAAGATTTGTTGAAAAAGAAATTGTAACTATAAAGATTTCATCCTCAAGATATGTATTCCTTATGTTTCTTATATTCTTCATGTAAAATTTTCAAACAAGTCCTCAGGCTCAAATATATGACACTTTTTATATTTAGTAATGTATAAATTTAGCAGTAAGAGTATATTAATATCATTATTCTTTATATACATGGATATAATATAATCTAAATGACAAGACCAAGCACATTTTGAAGATAAGCTAATATACTCAAAAATGTTATTCATAAAACTATTACATCTATCTATTTTAGATTTCACTCCAGGAATACAATTCCCTGTTGTCTGTTATTTCTAGGTATACACTAATTTTTATTGTAAGTCATTTATATACATAGATAAATTATATAAATAGGCATAAAAATAAATGGTTATATACAATCTTTCTTTTTTTCCTCACTTCTTCTTAATGTATATGTTAGTTTTCTCTTTAGGTATATATTTTATAAATGCTGGCTCCTACCTTATTTTAAGGAAGTATAATGTGTTAGTCACAGATGTAAGGAGAAAGGATAAAGAAAAACTATCAGTATGTAACAAACCTGCACATTGTGCACGTGTACCCTAGAACTTAAAGTATAATGAAAAAAAAAAAAGATCAAAGGATTGTTATGTAGGAAATTACAGTCATTTTCTGTTGCTGGATTTTGGTATAACTACTAAACTTTTCTAAATCAAACTTTACTTAGTTATTTAATCAAGATAGTAAAATTATTTATCTCATGAATCAGTAAATGAGTTAAAACCTGAAAAATATTTTGGCGCAGCTTAGTCAATAGAAAAACTCAATAAATGTTAGAGGCTGTGGCAGGATTGCTATATGCTATATATTAGGAGTTAAGAGGCACGGTGCTTAATAGATTGGATATGCTACTTTGCATTGTGCTTAGAAGGTTGACTTGTCCTGTGCAAAAATTTATATAAATATAAACCAGGTGTCTCACACTTATTCAGCCTTCAGGGGTGGGTCATGCTTCCCTTTAATGCCTAAATACCGATAGCCCATGTCCCTTTGTGTATTATGGCAGAAAATCTAGACTTTTATGGGGTTTCTCTCCTTGAGTATTTCTGAGAATCCCTATAAAATGCTAATATGTCCCACAACTTTTTCATAGTTGCTGCTTGACCTTCAGTGAGCCAACTGATTCCAGAAGCCTGTAGCACTTTTCCACACTCAAACTTTGTGGGGTTTTTTGTTCTGACTTTTTTTGAGCACATGCTGTCCCTTCTCACGGCACAGCACCACTGCTAGGCTGCATCCAGCCTTGGCCCTTACCTCCCCAAATTCAGCTAAAATCAGACTTTCACTATGCATGCCCTTAATAAAAGCTTGCAGGGCACAGAATAGAAATTCATGCAGA